GAGTGGACAGGGCATTCCAAAGCAGGAACAGAACTGCATAGCAAAGCATTTTCCTGTGTGGGATGGAGCCACCACTGCTTTCCATGCACACACTTGATCAGTTCTTTCCTTATAACTCACATAGCAGCTCTCTCTATTCAGAGGGATCTCCAGAGACAGAATTACACCTCCCACCTAAAACTTCCAGTTTGAGCCCATGCCAAGCAATCCCTGTGGAAATTTTTTTCTAATAGAGACTAATTTAGAAGTCACCATTATAAACTCACTTTACTTCTAATGCACTCCTGGCTCTACAAAAATCCCTCCTAGGTGTAGGATATCCAGGCTAGATGACTCCAAGTCATGGAGTGACTCCATGGCATGGAACCAGCATCTGGCAGAATCTGAAAGACCTTTGAGTGTTGCTATTTGTCTTTTCAAGCAGAAGCCCCATCCTTTATCTTAATCTCTTGTACAATATTATTACTTTGTAATAACTAACTGTCTTCAAAATTGCTCCACTGAATGTATTTCCCTCTTGTCTTAATTTCTCATTCGTCCCCTATTCCCTCATGAATTTTGAATCTATTACATACAAAATGCCCAAAACCACAAACCCTAAATCACGGAAATTATGCTGATGCAGCAAAACCACATCTGCTGGAAGCAAACTAGGCAGAAAGCCCAATCTCATTGGTTTTTAGAGAAATGAGTAGGAGAGCAGTGGCATAAATATTTGAAACCTTTTGTCTCCCAATCAGAATACAACTCAGGTGTGTAAGGATTAAGCTCTGGTTGACTGCTACTTGAGGTGCATTAGTATAGCTACTTAAAACTGAATAATTCCATCAAAGGCAAGGTTCCTCTGTTTGAAGTCAGACACAAGATTATTGAGCAGCATCAGCTCCAAGTTGCCATGACATGGATATCACACCAATGTCCCTACACCGTTAATAGAAACACTCAAGAATTTGCTGGGACTTTTTTTTTCAGAATACTTGGAATGGAAATAAGGTCATTTCCTTTAAGGTCATTTCCTTCAATTGCTCATGTGATGATGAGGAATCAACTCAAACATACAAGGTAAGAAAAGAATAGTAGAAAGAACCTAACTTTGGCCAGATGAAACCACAAATATGAATTTTTAATACAGATTTCTGCAGGGTGGCTGTAAATAGGAGTGGGCAAGGCATGATCCAGTGTGCACACAAAATACAGCGCAGCTCTGACAGGTGCTGGGTGAATGAAGGGTTTGGTAAACCTCAACTATTAACCTAACCATAACCAGACAACAAGTGTGCACTGGATAACCAGGCAATGACTATGTAGGGGCAACACGATGTATTAGAAGTCTGCATTCCCATCACACAATGCATGCAATAACCTCCAACTGTGTCAGACCTCGTGCGCATATCACCAGGACTTTTTATACAGCAAAAATGTAGCAGGTGATACCCTTCACTAAAAGATGACTTGTCTGGCCCTCCATCATGACATCTACCAGGTCTTCATGGGTCTGACACTTGCCCATTGTTGAGTCTCATCTAACCCCAAAACCCAAAGAAAACCACTGTCTTCCAATGCTGCAGGGCATGGAGCTGCAACAAGGAGTACCTGACTGGACAGGTCCTTCTTCAGAGTCATCAATCCCCTATCTAAACTGGTATGCTTAAAGATTTACTTGATTTGTATTATTTTGTCAATCAGAACATTTGAGGATTAGGGGTTTTGTCTACTCCTTTTGTTTATTAAAAAAAATAAGGGAAAAAAACAAAAAACTGATGGATTTCACTCTTTAGCTATCTATTTCCTAGCTACCTGTACCAAGAACAAAGACACAACCTTAAGAGGCATTGGGTATTTTTTCTTTTGAAATTTGGGATTTTCTAGAAGTGCTCTTTCCCTTTTTGTGCCAATTAAAATGGGCCTGTTTTGTAACTGATAAAGGTGCCTCTTACACGTGTCCACAACAAGGAGCATTGTGTGCAGTTACAATTGTTCAATAGATGCCCAGTCCCAGACAGATGGTGCTTTATCTTCACCCTCTTGTCAAGACAGCATAATGCATTGTCCTGTCAGGGATTAATGGAAGTGCCACTCACATTAGAGGCTAATTCTCGTACAAGTCTGTTAGAACACTACAGATGCTACAGCTACAGTTTCCCACTGTGATTGTACCAGTCTATCCACACTGGAGCAGAAGCAGGACATCCAGAAACCAAGGTGAGGAGCACAATGTAAAAATATACACAAAATGCAACCTTGTGGTCAATGGGAATGAATAATTTAAAAAGCAAGAAGAGGATGATAATAAAAATTCCACAGAGAAACAGTAGAAGAAAAAGTGACAACTGAATATTAAAGCAGACAAAACAAAGATTGAGAACCAAAAGGGAGGTTAAACCAAAAGATCCAACACAACAGAGAAAGAGCCTTTTCTCAGTAATGATCAACATATCACATCATCAGAAAATCAGCACTAGAATGGTGTCCATAATAGGGAAGAACAGCTGCAATACAGGGCAGAATGTAGGTACAGTGAAGGTACATTATCTTCCCTCACTATGTAGCCCAAAGCATTATTGTCTTATTAAAAAAAAAAAAAAAAAAAAAAAAAAAAGAAAAAAGAAAAAAAAAGTAAATATTTAAAAAAAAAAATAGGTACACAGTTGAGTACTGATTATTAATGAACATATAAGTCTCAAAACTGATTTCAAGATACATACTCCAAGAACAATATGCCAGGAGACATCTGCATAAACACTATAAAAGACAGGCAATTTAGAGATAAGTTTTTGGAGCTCTCATGGACCCTCTTTTTTGTTTAGATAAGATATTTGAGATCTAAGGCTAATTTGAGATGCCTCCACACATGCAGTCTCAGTAGACTGAGAACCTTCTAGAATCTAAAGAGCTTATGCTGCAGCACTTTTATCCCATTTTCCTTTTTGTACTGTGCCCATTTACCATGGTCTGTAGGTGGCATAGTGGGATAGAGGAAATCCAAGTATTGGACCCTTCTTTCTGAAAAGTCACTGGAGAATGGGAAATCTTTTGTGCTTGAGAGAAGCTCCTACATATTTATAGGGATAACAAACCTAGTTAGAAACTCCATGGTCACAAAACTCCTAATAACTGGCACTATCATGTCACTAATTGGTCAAGGCCTTTCACTCTGTATTTCAGAAGAGGCTGCTTGTGAGATAAAGGAAAGAAAGGCAAGGAAGAAGAGGCTATTCAGAGATGTTGATCAAACCTGAAAAGCCAAACCACGGCAGCAGATGGTGGATGGCAAACAGGAAGGTCTTGTCAAAAACTCGAATAGAATAAAAATAGTGGATAGAAGAAAAGCATTCTGACAGCATCAAATACCAGCCTTTAAAGATACATAAGAAAATGCATATACACCGTCTGCAGCTCCACTAATAGATAAAGATGAAGCAATACAGTAAAAGCAAGGGAAATTAAATAGCAAGAACAGCTCATCACTAACAAGTTTATGCACTGAGAGACAGCTTGAATCCAGGTCCTGAAATAGTATATTAGACTATAACGATTTCAAATCTCTTCTGAGAGTTGGAGACATGAGGTATACTGTTAACTTCTCACAATCCTGTACTGAATATTAGAAGATGTGGTCATGGTAAAAAGCAGATGAACTATTAAACAGGAAAACTCCATCTGGTTCACAAAATCAGTGAGCTGTAAATCATAAAAATCTAATAGAGCACACCAGGAAATTAAGCCTGTATGCTTCTGCCAGTCTCATACTTTTATTTGTCACAGGATCTGCTGCTACCAGACACTAGGAATGGACTAGATGGGCAAGATATACCTTTGGTCTTGCATGTTTGTTCACTTTTATGGCTTTCTTTACAACTTTTGTTACTGAGAAAGGACTCACCAAGGAGATGGAAGAGAGTTTATTAATGACAATATGTTTGACATCCATTATAGTGGACTGAAAACCTTGGCTGAGCCAAGGACAATGTAGGTTGATACCTAACTAGTCACTCCACACTCCAAGTGAACATAGTTCAGTGACACACTTCCAGGGTCAAACCTCCTTACACCTCCAATTGCAACAGTCCTTACTATTCCCATCGGACATTTCTTGAGTAATGCTTATGGTATTGGCCAGAAAACATTCTGATTGTGTGACTGCATACAAATTGGATGCCAGAAGAAAATAGATATTTCTTTTTTGGACCAAAAGAGTATTCCCAGTTCAGAGCCACACGATGAACTTTCTCTTCTCAGTCAGTCTCCCTTTTTTTGTTCCTCATTCCTTATGTTCCTCTGGCAGTGCAATTACCACCCCTTCATAGTATGTTTCTGGATTTCACTACCAGTGCAGCCATATATTGATATACTGTAGATGGACTTAAGTTTGCCACTTTATTAAGCAGCTGGTCATCACATAGTCCCTCTTTAGGCCATAGGGAAAGAACAGATCCTTCAAGTCTCCCTCACAGCAAGCATATTGCCATAACCTGCAAATCCTGCTACTCAAGCCATGAGATTTTTCCGTGTAGAAGACCCTAGCTGCCCTAAATTCCATACTGTCCTACTAAACTGACTTTACTGGTAACGTGTTATAATGCGTGTTTAAGCCTTTAAAACACAATGTGTTCTCCTCTCAGTGACAAAGATGCTGCCCTGTGAGAGTCACAAAAGATGTGCTTATCTTTACAAAAACATGTATCGTTCTTTAAGCCACACATTTTTCACAGGTGAAGCTCTATTCAGGTGGATGAATAAACTGCAAACTCTTGCAGTAGTTCAATTTGATTAAGCAAGATTCATTTTACAAATAATTCAACAACTTCTGTCAGTCCCAATTAAACTAACTAAATGATCAAGCACTTAATGTCTAGGGGTGAACAAAGTTTCATCAACATCAAAGTTTCATTTTTATAAAAAAACATCTTTCTCCACCACAACTGTGTTAAAACAGAGTTACTCACTAGTCTTTGGTCTCATTTTTAATATGCTGTAAGTATCTATAAAACAGATCTTACCTTGATCTTCTGAAGAAACCGGTGACCTGGAATAAAACAACAAAATCCGATCAATCTTGGGTAAAAGGAAGGTCACAAATAAAGTTTAGTCTCATTCTGGTGAATAGGATATGGAGTAATTTAAAATTTTTGTTCTTTATTCCTTAGAAGAGAGGACTGAAAGGCATCTGACAAAAAAAAAAAAAAAAAAAAAAAAAAAAAAAAGGTAGAACTGAACAGGTCATCTAGCAGCAGATTCTGCAGGCCAGAGTGACCATATGGAGCCATCTCTGGAGGGCTGCTGCAAAGACTGTCTGTAGAAACTTGGCAGAAACTCATCTGCTGCTGCCACTGCCAGGAGAAAACCTCACAACTAGGGGTAGTCAAGGAAATTACATCTTGGTAGGAGCTCACAGTCATTACAGTGGTCATTTTTTTGCCATAAATCAATGTAGCGGTTAGCATAAAACAGTAATCATAATTAATAACAACTCATGCCATCTTCACAAAAGTGACACAACAGATTAAAAAAAAATGTCTGGACAGATGTAAGTACAGAAAAAAGCAACATACCAGCTGTTACACAAGAGTAATGGGATACCCTAACCAGTGGATTAGGACTCTGATAAAACCCCAAGAGAGAGAAGGGTTATGAAACACAAGCGACCTCTCAGCATCACTTCTAATCAAGAGAAGAACCTCAGTGAATTCCAGGGATTTGTGTCATAGTTCCCATCACAAAGGATCACACTCCTGATAGTTTTGGTAACCACCCGGAACACAAGAACCTGGAAGTACTGGCCCTCCATTTTTCCCTTTGCTGCAGTAACGTGGCTTAGCAAAATTGAGGCTAACCATGGAGCTGAATCTGGGATATAGCTTCATTATTCAGACCAGACTGACAGCACAGAGTCCAGAGGACTGGACCATTCCTCAGCACTTCCCCAGCACAGGTTTCAATTGCATACACAGGCTTCCCACCAAAGAGTTTGTTCCTGTAGAGAGTAGGGCAACCCATGTTTCCTTTCCAAGATATTTAATTTCACAACAATGTACAAAAATAACAAATTAGAAAAGATTTTTAAATGTTATTGTTGCCAGCAAAGAGATCAAAGACAACATAAGAAAGGCAGCCACAGAGGGGTGAAGGGAAAAGAAGAAACAAAGGGGAAAAGTGTACATGTATATTTAACTGAGTCAGCAGGGGCTGAGGGCTGGAGAGGGGAAAAGAAGTGAAGCAACCCTGGGTTAGAGGAATAAAGGAGCTGAGGAAGAAGCCATGATCTCATTTCATAACAAGGGTTTGAAAATTAAGGTTGAGGGATTATAGAACATCAGAGGCAGATATGCAAATATGTAGATACAAACAGGAAAAATTGAAAGAAAAGAAGGAAGCTTTCCTGCCAAAGTATGTAAAATTTTGCTATAAAATAGAGAGAGATTTGCAAATAAAGAGAGGAAAGAGTTACAGCACAGCTGAAGCAATGGTCACTGTGAAAGGAAAAAAATTTGATTGCTTAATTAGGATTCTGGCTGCACAAGAAGCCAATGTGTCTGTATGGATCAGAATTAATTAATCCTCTACTCCCATTAAAGGCTCTGATTGCTGCTGAACATCCTAAGTATGTATCCTGCTCTGCTGCCAGCCAGGCCAGCTCTGCCCACACCCTTCAGCCATGTGTGTGGAATACAGCAGGAATGCAGGTAACCAAAAGGCTCCACTGGAGCTGTCCTGCTTTGACCAGTTAGTTACAGACTTTTCCCCTCAACTCCTAGCAGAATCACTTCTGAAGATCAAAACCCACTGCATTTTCTACAAGGTTAAACAAATCAGAATGGGTCATATAAAGAGGTGAAAGTGTTTTAGATACTTGAAAATATTTTTACACGCAAGAGTCATGCAAGGTTCCTTGGCTCACATGTTCTGACTCTCCTTCCATTACTAGTGCAGTATTCCACTGCATCAGCAGAATTTAGTCCTTTGTTTTGTTCCTTAATTGCCCAGTTTCATCACCTTTCAGTTCTTTATTTGAAACAATAAAGTAAACAATGCAGATTATCCTATAATTTGGCTCTTCTTTGTGCTTGGTTAAACAGATGTCATTAGTTCCTTAAAGCATCAACAACAGAAGAGATGTTATTACAATATCAATGCCTTCTCAATTAAAACATTGATTGAAGGGGAGGATGAAAAATATGTTTACTCATATTTTGTGTGCCTAAAATTATTACATATTTTTCAAATTATTACTGCCTTTTTACTTTGTTGTGTGTCTCAAATACAATGTTTGCATGAAATTTAACATTACACTGATGCTACTACCAATGCTTTTATTTGAAAGGATCCATCAAGTAACTGTGCAGCCTGGCATCCTGAGAAAATAAGGTTTATATAACCTTATTTATACCAGTTTCATCAGGTATATATCAGTATCTTGATGTGTACACATGCACCTCTCTGTCTCACTCTGATAAACTCTGGGCTTGTAGGCTCATTTCATCCCTTGTTAATTGACAGAGAGTCAATTCCTGCTTTCACACACCACGAAACAAAATAGCACAAGCTCAACTTTTCTGTGTAGCAGCAAAGCCACAAAGGAAGGTTTTGAATATCCCAGCCACAGGAAAAGCCTCAATGAGAGCTTCCACCACTGGAGATACCAAAGGCTCAACCACAATAAACTGGGCTTCCTTTGTTCCACTACTGACATGAAGAATTTTGGCAGAGTGGAGAGGACTTTCAGCATCCTCCTACAATTCCAGGCCATACAATTTAGCAAGGGGGAGGGAGGCTTTCCTAACTGCTCAAGTCCTCTCCTAACTACACCAAGGGGAGGCTTGTTTGTAGCTGTGATGGAAGGAAGTGAGGCTGCAGAAACCCCCACACTAAATAGAATTGGGCATTTTGTGCACTGACCCGGCCACCCCATGTTCATGGCAGGCTCTAAGGGAGGAAAGAGAGAAAGCCTAATGACCTGCTCTAAACCACATCCACTCACTCCACAGCCACAGGGGCTTTCCTGAGAGGACAAAAAAATCCAGTAGATGCTCATATTTCCGGTCACACATCTTTCTCTCAGGTCTGTAAGAAGTGTGAGAGATAGACTGTGGCAGCACTGGTCACCAGACAGGTGTTCCAAGAAGGGAGGATTCTCATCTGCTAGCATTCACACAGGAACCATCTGTCTAATGCCTGTCAGCTACCCTCCCAGTATGATCCTGGCTATGTGTTTCACTGTCATAAAGAAGCCAGTTATCATCTTCACAGCCTCCATGCCTTAAAAAAAATTAGAGACAAGTCAGACATACTTCAGGAAAACTAATATACTGTCAAGATCTGTGGTCTCACCTGGGTCAAAACACTTTGCCAAATGACATCTTGAAGGCATTTTCATTTGGTTAAACAAAACAGAAAAAATCTTCAGGAAGAGGTTCAGGCACTGCAATATCCTGTCCTTGGACATTTCAGAATGGAATAACTTTTTTCTTTATATGTATATATATATATACACATCAACTGGTTTTTTCTTCTGGTTTTATCTTGGTATAAAATTAAATTGTAGAAAGAAAGGGTCATCATCTCCCCAAGAGAGTAAAGGCAGGCCAGATTATCTGTGACTGACTACATTTCCAGAGTCATGAGATTCAATTATCTCTTCTACCAACAGTGATGTTTATTTTCCCATGCATAAATGAAACTGTGGAGCCTGATTTCACATATTTTCACCAAAGGCTTTAATCTGACTTTCTCCCTGCTCTGGTTTTGCAAATAGCTATTGTTGTAGCAGATAGTTTGAGCAAAGACATATTTCTGTGATAGGAAAGAGGATCAGAAGGGACGAGGAGGAAAAGCACATTGTCAAGAAAGGTCTTTTCATCTCTGTTTGCTTTGCATGCTGCTCCTTGACCTCCTTTCTTACAGGTCCTGCAGCAGTCTTCTCCTGTTGCAGAGTGGCAAACTCAACCCAGAGGGATAGCACAACTTGCAAGCCTCAGCCTGCAAGGGGGAGCTGTGCAAGGTCTGTTCCACCACCCCTTTTGCAAGCAAAACAGTACCCTTTGGGCTTAGCAAAAAATCCTCAAGCTTCTTCCAGAAATCAAGGTGCATATCTTTAGAAATGCATAAAAAAGGCCATAAAATGGTGTAAAAAAAAAAAAAAAGCCTGATCATGCATATACTAGATGCATCCAGCAAATGTGAGTACTTACAATATTGAAGGCATGAGACCTGCCCACCTGAAACCACAAAAAGCCTCCAAGTTCACTGTCTGATCAAAAGCTCAGTGGAATTTTCCCACTCACTCTTGAAGGGTTTGGATAAATTGCTGGAGAAATCTAATCCTCAGTGTAGACAAGTCAACCTTCAGTATCATACAAACCTCTCTCAAAGAGCCAAACAGTCACAGCTGTTTCCAAGTGCACAGTCCAATGTGCAAGAACTAAGTTTGTTCAGACTAGATGGGTGGAAGAAGGAATATTCATTTCTAAGGACGGAAGTGCAGGGAATATCACAATTTTGAGCCTACTCAACTGAGACTTAGGAACCTAGAGATATACTGCCAGACTCCAGGAGATTAATTCTAACAAAATTTCAGCAAAAGAGTACATTATTCATGAAGACAAAAGCCTCTGGAGAAACAAATTTGGAGTTGATGTAAAGCAGCTATTTTAATCAATAAACCTGTAGCAGAAACTATCTGCACCAGACCTATTTAAAACCAGCCATTTAATATTTAAAGGCCAAATAACAATCTCTATGCAGCAATTCTACTGGGGTTTATGACCATTCCACTTTTTTTCCTGCTTAAGGAATGTATTTCTGCAAACTTTTTAATTCAGTCTGACAACAGCTGCCTGTGACAAGGGGAAAGCAAGAGCTGTCAAATTAAACCCATTCCTTCTCATTTTGAGAGTGCATCTCTTCAGAACCAAAAGTGGCATCCCTGTTGGGATTTATTCACATATCCTCTGATTGCAAATGAAGAAAAATTTTAGCACATCAAGTATTTTTAAAATATAGGTGAGGAAATCCTCTCATTCAGCAATT